ACCAAAAGTGGAGAGGGTGAATACAGTTCATCTCCTGTTTCGATATTGACTGGCTGGCAGGGGCTGCCTTAGGGCTGTGGGAGAAAATCAGTGGGTCACCGGGAGCTTTTCGGTCATGGTGTCTGTGATACGCGTGGAAAGGGAAGCTGTGCTGTGGAGCCTCCATCCCAGTATTAATGCCATATAGGTGGTAAAAAGAAATAGAAAGGTAGCATTTCTAATAAAAACAAGCAAGTCTAGAACAAACAAAATTTAGAATAGGAGCAAAGCACATTTGACCATATGTTCTCTGATCTGCTTATATTCTGAAGTGAGAAAAACTTAACCTCATGCATCCAACCTCCACCACCAAGGGCCACTTGGACCTGAGGATGACAGGGCCTTGCCCTGCTCCTTTCCCCAGTGCAGAGGTCAGAAGAGGACTCCCAACAGCGTGCTAAGAGCCCTAACTGGCCCTGTTCCCAAATGCAAAGGGAAAACAGCCTTTCCAGCTAACGGAAGGCAGAGTGGTGGGTGGCATAGAATGGGTCTCAGTTCTTCTGTGCTATCAGCTCTGGAGCAAGAAGCTGAAACAGGAAGCTGCAGAAAGGAATATTGACACTGTCATGTATAAGAAATAGAAAGAATGTGATGATGGGTGAAGGGAGGGGAGGGGCCGCAGAAGGAGGCCAGGCGCTGTGTCAGGGGCCTGCAGCTCGAAGATGAACATGGCTGGTAAAGAATTTCTGGTTGTGGGGTGGTGAAGAGTCGTCAGCAGCCGTGGTCCTAGCTTTCCGTTCTAAACTGTTCATCTTCATCTTCAGAAACTTCAGCGTAAAGCCGCCAGCACAGTTCATGGAGAAAAGCATTTGCTCATGTAAAAGCTCTGGGAACAATCACCGTGCAGCTGTTCTTCGATTTGCCCTCAGCTCTGACTGCTGCCCCTTTGATGCCCCCACGGATCACTGCCTGGATGCCTGGGCTTGTTTCTGCTGATATGGGGTCACTGTGACCACACGGATGCCAGGGCTGTGGCGAGTCTGGGGAGGTCGCGCTTTGCCGGGATGACCCACAGAATCCCCCCCCCCACAAGGCTCAACTTTTCCTTTTCCTTGTCTAACATGCTGTATGTTGTACAGACTTAAAAAATAGTTTTCTCCTCCAACCCATTTTTTAAAAAACATGCATGTTTGTACATTATTTGTACTATTCTATTTCCCATAATCTACAAGTTCTTGGTACATAGTAGGTGTTCAATAAGTATTTGTTGAAAAAAAAACAAGTAAACATTTTGTAAAATAAGGTACTTCTATCACATGTGATGCCATCTGATGTCACCTAGTCCAGTCCCTAACACACTTAATTTTTAAAATATGAGGCAACAATCCAGTAAATCGATTATATGACCTACAAGTGGTCACAACCCACAGTGTGCGAAATATTAATTTAAATAGTAAGGGTGGTAAAAGCTGACTATAACCCATGTTTCCCACTAATTACAACTAAAATAGCTGGAAAAAAGGACTGCCTGAAGATTCTGAAAATAAACAAAAGCCGGAGGAAAGGAGCCAAAAGTGGATGCACGTGGTGGGCTTTATTTTCCATTTTTTTCTTGTTTGCTTCCCTCCAAAGCGGGGCCCCTCATAGGCAGAATATCAGCAGTGGGTGTGAGCAGGGCTAGACGTCAATAGAGAGCCCACCCTTAACACCAGAGGAGAGAGCAGAGGAGCCCCCGGGGCTGGAGAGTGGGGAGAGAGGCCCGGAAGGGAGGACGCCAGGAAGGAGGACACCCCGCTCTGGGTGTGAGCCTGCAGCTGCCTCGGGCTCACTCCCTACTCTGGACAGGCCGGAGTGAAGGGAGTGCCTTTAGAACTGAACTGAGATTTGAAGCAACTCCCCCCAAAAGTGAGGCAGAATCTGTGGTCTCAGCCTAACCATGTAGATCGCCTGCTGATTAGAAAGCAGCTCCAGAGAATTAGGACAGGAACAGAGCGTACACAGCATTCACAGCATCCAGTATACAATCCAAGATTCTTCAGCCTACAGGAAATGTGGGCAGTTATCAAGGGAAAAAAATCAACAGATGCTAAAATATTGGAATTATTACACAAAGGCTTTAAAGCAGCTATCATAACCATGTTTTATGAAGAAAGGAAAACATACTTGAAATGAATCAAAATACGGAGTTTGCCAGCAGAGAAACAGAAACTATAAAAAAAAGAACTAAAACTATGTAACAGAGTTTCTAAAATAAAAAATTCATTGAGTAGGCTGCATAGCAAAATGTGGATGACAGAGGAACTTCACACAGATAAGTAAATATTGTCCAATCTGAAGAAAAGAGAGAAAAAGAGAAACAAGTGAGACAATCTCAAGAGGTCAAACATACCTGTGATTGGAGTTTCAGAAGGAGAGGAAAATGAGAATGGGACAGGAAAAAAATATTTGAAGAAATAATGGCTGGAGGTTTTCCAAATTTGGGAGAAGATACAAAATGTACATATTTAAGAATCTCAGCAAACCCCTAGAGAAGATAAACTCAAAGAAAACCAAATTTAAGTAAGTCATACTCAAACTTCAGGAAACCAATATTTTAAAAATTATCTTACAAGTAGCTAGGCAAAAGTGACACATTTCATACAGAGAACAACAATCAGAGTGATGACGGTTTTCACACTGAAGAACCGTGAGGTCGGAAGACAGCGGAACAGTGTCTCGGAAGAGCTGAACGAGCTGTCAGTGTGTCCATCCAGGGACAGCATCCTTCAGGAGTTCTGGCAAAACGTGGCATGAAAGGAGCCGAGAAGTGCCGCTTTCCTTACAAGTAAAACACTAAACCCATTGAAAACCAACAAATTTTAGATCCATCCATTTACTGGAACGGAACCCTCCGTGGGAAACAGTGCCAGGGTAAGAAAATCTAACCGTAAGTGATTAACTGCTGGAGGCTCAGTGTGAACGAGTCCATGAGGACCCAGGCACAGGGGGGCCCCTACTCTTCTCTGAGTTTTATTTCCAGCAGCCTTACCAAGTCTGCACAGTAAATAATGGAGAAACGCCCCTAGTGCCCCTGCTTGGGGCAGAGGGAAAGAACCTGCTCTCCAGTACGTGGGAGTGTCTGTTCTTCTTAAGGAGGCTTGTTCTGGGAGGAAACATTCCACCAGAGCCGGACCTGCCTGGGGCAAGGGAAACACAAGCCCCTCAGCTCTAGCCATCACATGCCAGAAGGGAAGCAGCCTATTTGCGGCTCACTCTAGCTTTCAAAGTGGGGGAAGGGAAACCCAACCCCTGCTTCTCTAACCATCCAGTCCCATCTAAGAGAGGGAGAAATGGAGAAGCATTAGTGAAGTTCGCAGACCCCCCAGGGCACAGACTCACAAAAACATGAAGGCCTAAGTAAAAAACTATAGAAAGCTTCCTTCCCCTCCACAACTTACCCTCATATCACTAAAGGCGTATTTACCAGAATTCCATTCATCCAGTACATCATGTCCACCTTTCAACAAAAAAATCCCAAGGCATTTTGAAAGACAAAAAGCACATTTGAAGTGATTGAATGTTCGTCAGAACCAGAGTCAGATATGGCAGGAAGGTTGCAGTTATGAGGTCAAGAATCTTAAAAAGTATGATTAATATGTTAAGGGCTTTAATGAAAAAAGTAGACAACATGCAAGATCAGATGAATAATGCAAGCAGAGAGAGAGGAATTCTAAGAAAGAGTATTAAAGAAACACTTGAGATTAAAAATACTGAAACAAATGAAAAATGCCTTTCACGGCTTCACTGGTCCACTGGACACAGTTAAGGAAAGAATCTCTGCACTTGAGGATATGACGATAGAAACTTCCAAAACTGAAAAAAAGAAAGACTCAAGTAGGCAGAACAAAATACCTAAGAACTGGGGTACAGTGACAAAAGGCATAATGTATGTGTGATGGGGATACCACAACAAGTAAGAGTGACAGGAACAACAGCGATATTTGAAGCAATGGTGACTGAAAATTTCTCCAATTTAAGATACCAAGCCACACACCCAGGAAGCTGAGAAAACACCAAGTAGGATAAATACCAAAAAACTACAAAAAGAAAAAACAAAACAAAACAAAAAATACCACTACATCTAGGCATATAATATTCAAATTCCAGAAAAATCAAAGATAAAGAAAAATTCTTGAAAGAAGCTAGAGGTAAAAAACCACCTAACCTACAGAAGAGTGAAGGTAAGAATTCAAAGAAACGGCAGAGTAAGCCTGGAAATAGACCCTCATAAATATAGTCAACTGACTTTGACAAAGGAACAAAGGAAATAAAATGGAGCAAAGACGGTCTTTGAACAAACGGTGCTGGAACCACTGGGCACCCACAGGCAAAAATGAATCTAGACAGACCTCACACCCTTCACAAGAATTAACTCAAAACGGATCGTAGACCAAACTGTAAAATGCAAAACTATAAAACTTCCAGAAGATATCCTGGGAGAAACTCTAGATGACCTTGAGTGTGGTGATACCTTTTCAGGTACAACAACAAGATTTGATTCATGAAATAAATAATGGATTAGTTGAACTTCATTAAAACAAAATACTTCTGCTCTGCAATAGATAATATCAAGAGAATTAGAAGACAATTCACAGATTGGGAGAAAATATTTGTACAGATACACCTGATAAAGAAAGGACTGTTATTCACTAGATACAAAGAACTGTTAGAACTCAACAATAAGAAAACAGCCCAATTAAAAGTGGACAAGAGAGCTGAACAGACACTGAGAAGTATCTACTTAGTCGCAAAGGAGATGCCCCCATGGCAGGAGCATGTGAAGAATCTCCAACATCGTGTGTCATTTGGAAATTGCAAAGGAAACAAGGATGAGATACCACTATACACCTACTAGAATGGCTGATACACAGAACACTGAACCACGGAAGGCCGGACGGGATGTGGAGTGGCCGGAGCTTCTCGCTCACTGCTGCCGGGACTGCACAACGGCACAATCACTTGGGAAGACATCTTAGCAGCTTCTTACAAACCTCAACGTGCTCTTATTAAACAATCCAGCAATTGTGTTCTTTGGTATTGACCCAAAGGATTTGAATGAAGCTCAAGTCCACACAAGATCCGGACATGGATGTTTATAGCAGCTTTATTCATAATCAACAAAACTTGGAAGCAGCTGAGATGTCCTTCGGTGAATGGATAAACTGTGCCTCCTAGGAGGTAAGGGCTGTAACATTTGTATCTTTAGCTTCCACAGCCATGTACAGTGACAGTAATGTGCTCTTAAGGCTTTTTTATATAAACCTCTTTTATTAGACTGTAAAAATTTATGGCAGAGTGTCCCACTTTTTCTGTTTAAGCCCTGCTAGAGATTGTTTAAAAGAATGAAAAATGCATCAAACACATGTTAAGATGATGAAAAGATGGAGAACTACCCCAAAACATCAGTGAAACAAAAATACATCTCTGCTGAGAAGACTGTAAGTATACTCTCAGGACGTGATTTCATAAAAGCCTTTCAATGGAAATGTGAGTGCACACATGCGTGCATGTGCGTGCACACACACACAAACACACACACCACTTTTATCTTTGCAATAAGCAAAAAGGAGAATCACAAATTGAAGACCCTTCCCACTGTATTTAAAAGCAACCTACAATTAGCTTTAGAACAAGTACTTTATGCGACTAACTGAAGGGTAAAAGCTTTGAAAAACTCAGCTGTACAGTCAGTACTTTCATGCACTTAAGTAATGGGACAGGCCTAGAGATGCTGTTTCCTGCCCTGTGCCAGGAGCACCTGCGTTACGCTGCTTTCTGAAACCCAGCCTGCGTCATGGCCGCTAAGTCTGAGTTCCCAGTGAGGGTCTCTTAGGACTTGAAAGTCCCCCTGCATTTTTTGCTGTTTTCTGTTGGCTGATGGTCTCCAGTCCAGGCTGTTGGAGGAACCCTGAGCAGAATGATCTCCTTCAAATGTGCTCTTCAGAGAAAATGTCCCTCTTTGTTGGTTTTTAGCTCCCCTGGTGGCAGTGGGGAGGCTGCAGCTACTGGGCGTGTCTCCGGAGGGAGGGTATCTGTGCACAGCCTCATGGTGCACAGTACAGCAGGCGCTTCAAATTCCACAGCGTTGTTAGGAGTTTTCAGGAACACATCACTGAAATGTATTTTAGTGTAGAACATTCCAGTCCTTCACAAACATTTATGAGCTCAATTTTTCCCTGCTTATTAACCAGCAGTCTTCCTGGCGCATGCATGGTACTGTGCATCTGAGCCAAATAAACCACTGTCAGTGAAATCAGTTAAATTAAATGCATATTTCACGTCAGGTTGCAAGCAAATAAATCTATAAGTAAGATGGTTTGCTGTTAGCCTCTGAAACTTCCATCGTCTTGAATTTTGGAGTCTCAATACTTCAATTCAACGTAATTTGTTAAGGTATTGTGCATGTTGAATGGCGTTAGATCTAGTGAAACGCTATGCAGAGGCTATTCTGCAGCTGTGGAAAGGATCACCAGTCATTCTGTCCTGCCGGCAGTCACCACTCTGAAGGGGCATGAAGTGGTGCAGTGCGTTGCTCTGTGTGAACACGTCATGTTCTACTGAGCTGCCTTGAAAAGAACTGTGATCTTTGAACTTTGGGAGTTGCTCAGCCTCTGCAGAAATGAAAGAGCAGTTAAGTGAGAAAATTTTAAAATCAGCATTGCAAAATAATTTCATTGAAATCATGATGCTGAAAGAAAAAGAAAGGGAAGGCACACTCTTTCCATTCCATTCTCGTTTCCATTCAAATCTCAAAAAATGAGATCATAAAATTAAAAACAATTTTTCTATCAAACGGGCAGCATCTAGTTTGGCATCATTAACGGAGCTCTCACGGATTCTCAGCCCTCCCGCCCGCCAGAGAGTCCGAGCAAAGCAAAGGGAGTTATTGCCCGTCTGGCCAGGGCCCCTGGGTGTCCTCGTCATCTCCCAAAAACGTACCCCTTCTGGTCTGCTGAGTCCCTGGCTCACGGCTGACATCCAGCCTGGTCACCAGAGCAGGTTCGGCTCTGCCAGTGGGAAAATGCTGCCTCTCAGGACACTCACAGACCGTGGCAGGGACTCGTCAGTTACGTGGATCTCATTTGTGCACTAAGAGCCCCACCCGTCCCATCGCACAGTCTGGAACTACCCTGCCGCTCTTGGGCTCGCCCTCCCTCTTGCGCCTCCTTCTCCTGTTCATTCAAACTCCCCTTATGTTTTCCTTTGAAGCCATTTTCATGATGCATTATAGAACAAAGGGTGGTAAAGTTGGAAGGGACTTTTAAGATCATCCAATCCAATGCTCTCATTTCATAGCTGAAGAAATGAGGGGCTGAGACACGAGGTAGCGCGCCTGCTATTGCCGGAAGGTGGCAGAGCCCAGGACCAGCTCCCTGGGTCCCCAGCCAACAGTTGAAGGCACCGTCACACCTGCTTCTCTCAAGACACTCGACCTCTCTCTCTGCTGTTGTTTTTTGGGCTGCTTCTTTACGTAGGCGGTTTTACATGATATAATCGGAAAGTGTCAATAAAGGACGGCTGAAAGGCTCCAGTCAGCTTGGGGCAGCATTTCTTCACTGCCGCCCAGGGTGCCCCGGGATTTCCACCGTTAGATCATTCAAAGAGAAGGTCTGTTGTTACTCATGAATGGACAGTGGGTCCGACACAAAGACACGCCCTATTTAAAATTCCTACAATGATTCTGGCAAGTGGGGATTCCC